TACTGGTGGGAATGCAAACTGGTGCAGCCACTAGAAAACAGTAAGGAGGTGCCTCAAAAAGTTAAAAATAGAACTACCCTAAGATCCAGCAATCACACTAGGGTATTTACCCAAACAATACAAAAACACTAATTCAAAGGGATACATGCACACCCCCCCCATGTTTACAGCACCATTATTTACAATACACAAGATATGAAAGCAGGCCAAGGGTCCAGTGATTGATGAATGGATAAAATAAGATGTGATATGTGTGTGCGTATGTGCACGCACGCACATATAATGGAATATCATTCAGACATCAAAAAGAGAAAGTTTGCCATCTGCATTGACAAAGATGGAGCTAGAAAGTATAATGCTAAGCAAAACAAGTTAGAGAAAAACAAATACCATATGATTTCATTCGTATCTGGAATTTAAGAAATAAAACAAACAAGCAAGGGGGGGGGGGAGGGACCAGGAAACTGACTCTTAACTCTAGTCAGTTACTGATGGTTACCAGAGGAGAGGTGTGGGGGGTTGGGTTAAATAGGTGAAGGAGATTAGGGAGTACACTTGTCATGATGAGCACCAAGTGATGTATGGAATTGTTGAATCACTATACTGTACACCTGAAACTAATAGAACACTGTAAAAAAATAAAATGATAAAAAAATAATAAACTTACAAGTAGAAATTATGGGAAAAAAACTAAAACAGATGTGTGTAGAATACCTAGAATAATGCTTGATACAAATTACACACTCTACAAATCAAAAGAAATATCCATAAAGAGGCACCTGGGTGGCGCATCCAACTCCTGATTTCAGCTCAGGTCTGATCTTCGGGTCATAAGACGGAGCCCCACACTGGACTCCACATTCTACACAGAGTCTGCCTGAGTTTCTTTCTCCCTCTCCCTCTATCCCCTATACCCTCCCCTGTGTACTCTCTCTCTCTCTCATAAATAAATCAATAAATCTTTAAAAAAAAATTAAAAATAACTATCCATAAAACTACTGGTTTCCACTTGCTGACACCAGAAAAGTACTAGCTGAAACAGACAAGCTTTCCAATCTTTGGTCAGTCTCTTATGAAGTCTACTACAGTTCCTATTCCTTGTTCATGAGGTTTTAATCAGTACCATTCCACTGGGTATTTATATACAAAAACCAATGCTGTTACACCATCAATAACTCAGAAGTAATATTACTCCAACAGAATAAAAATTAAAGCGGCATTTTTCATTCCCTTGCTTAAAACCAGCAGCTTAGATCAAATGGTACTGCTTATCTTGCCCAAAGAATTAAAAGCACACAGGGTTTATAATTTCCTCTATGTACAAACTACATAGAGGGGCTTGGGGGTATCTATACCTGAATTACCTAAACAGTCTTTTTTTTTTTTTTTTTCAGATTCCACTCTGCCAGGTACTCATCAACCAGGGAAATGCTCCATAAAATAGACATGCTTTCCCTTACTGAGTTTACCAGGCTAGGGAAGGATACAGATCAGCAAACAGCATTTCCATCATATTTTAGGCAACCAGTAAATTAAGATTTTCTAGCTCTCTCAGCTTCTAAAAAAATTGACAACTCTGCAAGAAAGCTTAAAGTCAAATGGTTTTTCCTTTAAAACACCTGAAATACACTAAATCAGCCTAGTACAAAGATGTATTACATCAATACTTCTTTTTGTCTCCATCTGTTTACCAAGTTCTTTCTCAAATAAAAGCCAAGCAACAAATGATAGCACTTTCCATTTGACTTTACTTTTATTAACATTTTTAGAAACTCAATAAATAGAGTAACTACAGCATAAACCAAAATGATTTGGTTAACAATTTATTATGTGTAGATTTACATTAAAATTATAGAAGACACTCTTGGTATTAAAAATATGTGCATAAATTGTTCACAGACTCCATATACCATAATATCAAACATAAGAGACCCATTCAAATTAATTTGATATGCTTAAAGTATGTTCATCTGTAGCATTTTAATAAAACTAAAAATATAATCTGTGGCCAAATTTTTTGGTGTCGTATTTTCTTGTTACTCTCGCATTATGAATAATCTGTAATTTTTTTATTATTTTGGCAGCCAACAGTAAAAATTTAAAAAACAGAATGTATAAACTGCTTCTCCTTGTGGTTAAGAACAATGTGGACAAGACAGATCTATGGATGCACCAAGCAACAGAGAAACAAAACAGAAAAACCATGAGAATATGGTATATTCAAAGGGCACAAAACAACCTAGAAGTATTCTCATTTCCAAAGCTTAAAACAGCAGTCCTCCCGCCCATATCTTGATGCATCAGAAGAGTTTAAACATAAAATGCACTATCTACTATCGTTCCCTCTTATCTGCAGCTTTGCTTTCTGTGATTTCAGTTACCCATGGTCAACCTAAGTCAGGAAGCAGATGATCCTCCTTCTAACTCATCATCAGAAGGTCAATAGTAGCCTAATGTCACAGTCTCTATCATTCATCTCACTTTATCTCATCATGTAGGCATTTTACCATCTTACATCATTACAAGGATGGGTAAAGTATAATATGATATGAGAGAAATACCACAGTCATATGACTTTTATCACAATATACTGTTATAATTATTTTATTATTGCTGTTAATCTCTTACTGTGCCTAATTTATAAATTCAACTTTATCAGGAGTATATATGTACAAGAAAATGCATAGTATATATAGGGTTCAGTACTATCTCCATTTTAAGGCACCCACTGGGGCACACCCCCTCATATGAATAAGAGGCACTATTATAATAGTGTAAAGATATAATTTATTAGAAACAGTCATTAACATTAATCACTTACTATGATCCAAAACACTGTTCTAGGTGTTTTACAACTAATCTAATCCTCACCATCACCTTATTACTACTCCCATTTTTATACAGCAGAAGGAGATGAAGTAATTTGTCCAACATCAGAAAGCTGCTAAGTGACAGAACCAAGATTCAAACCTAGATAATCTTGTCATAAAGCTCACATTCTTAACTATTTTGTTCTGCCAAAGATAGTAGAATATGTTCTTCAGGCTAAAATTTCAACTCCAATCAAAAACAGAATTCATGATGTCTCATTACACAAGTTCCAAGCGCTAATCCTTGGTGTCTAGGAGTGTGTGAGTGGAGAAGGGGAGGGTCATTAGTACGAAATTAACAGAGGCTGAGGAGAGGGAAAAACATGCTTCTTCATTGATTTATAGTTTAATTGATTGATATACTAATCTTAAAGATGTATTTGTCCATCAATTATCAATTTCATTTCATTTTTCCATGGCTCTTAAATTAGATTGCTCAATGCTAATACAACCATTAAGTGCAAACAGGAGAACCAAAATGGCACGGCAATGTAAGATTGCCACTCAGCTGATTCTGAAAATGCTTAAACGAATCTGAAAATGCTTTTCAGACTCTAATAAAAACTGTTTTAAATACAAAATTTACATTTGCTGAAGGAGAACTCCCATACATGCCTCAAAATATCTTTAAACTCAGCAGATAAGAAGTCTTATCTTCTTATCTTAAGTCTTATCTTTAAAGATAATCAATATTGAGAATACCCCTTCCCCACCCATACCCAACTTTTTACCTATGAGGTCATTGTCTGCAAGAGAAAATGACTTCAATCCAGTCAGGTGGTGGGAGAGTATAAATGAAATGCGGTGGAAGGTCAGAAAAGAACTACGTCAGGATGAAGTCAGAATACTCTGTAGATCTGGGGTTTGCTCCATAAGCTCCACAAAGTGTTTCAATGTACACGCTCCAACATAAGCTGACCACAAGTCTATTACTTGATAGCCCTTTCAAGGCAATGTATTTAAAAAATAATACCCTCCCTGACAGTACATTTAATATTTGGCAATCAAATCTAGGTTTTTCTTCTTTTAAATTGAAGTATAATTCTTATACAGTGTTACATTAGTTTCAGGGGAAATGGACCTAGCGGGTATTTGCTAAGTGAAATAAGTCAAAGATAATACCGTGTGATTTCATTGATAGGTAGAATTTTTTTTTTAAGTTTATTTTAAAAAAAAAAATCAAACACTGAAAAAAAAAAAAATCAAACACTGTTTTACTAAGACAGACATTCAAAAATATTCTCCGTAACACTATCATGGACAACAGGAAACTAGGCAAAGTAAACCTTCCTAAAAATAGTATTTAAAGTATGTAGTTAGATATTATTAAACAAGCAGAATAGGGACACCTGGGTGGCTCAGTGGTTGAATATCTACCTTTGACTCAGGGCATGATCCCATAGTCCCTGGATGGAGTTCCCCATCGGGCTCCCCACAGGGAACCTGCTTCTCCCTCTGCCTATGTCCCTGCTTCTCTGTGTTTTTCATGAATGGATGAATAAAAATCTTTTAAAAGTAAAAAATTAAAAAATAAGCAGAATAAAAAGTGGCAGGAGAAATTTAAAAAAAAAAAGAAAACAGGAACAATATACTTAAAAGTAGAATGTCTAATAAACTTACAATCAACACAAAATGTTGGTGAAATCTAAGAGGAGCATCATATGGGAAGTTACAGCTTTCTTTTTCTGTTTAATAGCTCTCCAGGTGATCTGACACACAGCCAAAGTTATTCATTTGATCACTTTCATTTAAATCTCATCAACAGAAACATTTTAGATTTTTAAAACTTTTAATGACATCTTTATACATACAACATTATAGTGTGTCTAGTTTCCAAATTGGCAGTTTCTCAACTATAAATACCAAAGTAAGTTAACATGATGGACTGAGTGATACCTGTGTCAGCTAAATGAAAACTCATGATAATCAACAAGAAATATCATGACAGTATCTTAAAAAAGTTCAAAAGTTTCATGAAATAATAAAACAATATGTACATATGCAATATGAACATATATGAAATAATATGTAGTGCTTTATGCACAAAAGATCTGGGCATTTTATTATTAGAATGTAAAAGTACAAGGAAATTATTCACATCAAGCCTTGCCCCCATGTTCAAGGACTTACCTTCTTTTTATCCCTCATCGAGCCTTTGCCTCGGACCATTATTTTACATCCCGTTTCTGCTTCAAGTTGTTTAGCAGTAAGTCCTCTAGGTCCAAGGATTCTTCCAACAAAATTAAACTGGGAAAAAAAAAAAAAGTCACTACAAATTATTCACTTGCTTGAATTTATAGCTCTCATTTTAAAACGTATTTTTACTTTGTCAAGTTAAATATTTTTAAATAAATCTTAGAGACTATAAATTTCTAGCCCAGCTTGAGGATATAATTACACGAGCGCATTGCTCATCATGAAGTTTCCTATGTATTAATACAAATCATGAATTAGGAAAAACAGGTACTATACTGAACTGTCCATCAACATGCAATCTAAACCAGAATATGGTATATTAAAGAGTTTGACAAAATCTTAGATGCCACCCAAAACAAATCCCTTCTACAAGACTCTGTAATGTCACCATACAGGGAATTGTTCATTATGTTAGTTATTAATTGCATTCTTTAGAGAGATTCTTGGGGAAAAAATCTGATCTCATTTATCTAAGAAAACACTTTCTCCAAAGAGAATTTTAGGGTTTTTTTTGTTTTGTTTTTGTTTTTTAAGATTTATAAATTCGTAAGACATACAGAAAGAGAGGCAGAGGCATAAGCAGAGGGAGAAGCAGGCTCCCTGCAGGGAGCCCAATGTAGAACTCAATCCCAGAACCCCAGGATCATGACCTGAGCCAAAGGCAGATGCTCAACCATTGAGCCAACCAGGCACCCCAAGAATTGTAGTTTTGAGTCAGCTACCATAACACCAATGGCCTAATTTGAATTCCACCCTATACTAGTATTTCAGTCTTGACAGCATATATTGTTTGCACAATTTTATGTCTGCACCTTATTTTTCTTCCTTCTTTATTCCATTTCTAACTTTAACTTATACTACTAGTTTTGCAAGGAGCCTTAATTCTTTCCATGAGTAGGATAGTGATAAAAATAATATATAAATAACTGCCATGCCTCAATAAAAACTTCTAGTACAAAGGCCAATGGGGAACACAGACTGACTCTGAGTACTGAAAAGTAAAACTTCCTCTTTCACAGTCAACTGCACAAAAAACAAAAAATGGTTATTTGCCATCAATTCCACAAAAAGCTATGTTGGTTTTTATTTATTCAAACAGGTACTGATTCTTATGTTTATAGCTTCCTACTTTTTTCTTGCATTTGATCCTACTATTAGTATGACATTACATAAAAGTAATATGTTAGCGTTCACTGCTATAAGAGTTTAAGAAGCTAAGGCATTGCTCCAATCTTCTGCACACTATCAGCTTTTTACTTTCCCTCCCTAAAGCTGCTCACAAACACTGCCATATCTTATGGGTGATACGCAAATCAAAGATGAATAATACAACACATACCTACATGGGGAGAGAAAGTACTCTTCCTCAGAGGATTCTGATAGAACTTTTCCATCCCAAGACTCATAGACTGATCCTATAAGTGCTTGATCTAGCTCTACAAGATCCCCAATTCTGAAATTTACCTTTATATTCAAATGAACCCCTTATCTCTGCCTAGTTCCTTGGTGTACAGTACTTTATCTACTCTTTAATCAACCTAAAAGCCCTGTCATCAACTCAAGAACTATACTATTATTAAGTGTTTAAAAAACTCTAAAAGCACACAGATCCCAACTGGTATCCAAGCTACAGTAGAGAATAATAATTAGGAATTTGAAAGTCACATCAAGTAAGCCTGAATTATATAAGGAAAAGGATACTCTCTGGTAGAGCAGTACTGATTCGTCTATGTGTGTACAGCACAATACATATAAAAGGTCCAATACAAGGTCTGGCAAATAGTGGACAATTAATAGCCTACCAAGTCCACTACAAATTCACTTTAAGAAACCTCAGGCCCTCAACTAAATACCCAGCTTAGAATGTCCATAGACAGGGATATTGATCCATAGCAAATTTACTCTAGAGAACTCCAGAGAAACTTGATACTCAGAGTTCTGAAGAATACCAGAAAGAAAAGGTGGAAGCAGTATACAGAACACCAACAAACAGGGATCTAACCTGTAGGTAACAGGCTTGAGTTTTTGCCTCCATAAACAGCATTTGGCTACCTTTTCAAAATTGACACTTCAGGTGATCACCTCAAACTGAAGCCTGCAGTGGATTAGCCCAGTACATGAACACAGAAGTTCATAATTCAAATGTTCAGCGCTTCACACTGAAATATGAATAGACAAAGCAAGTTCACCAAAGACTTGAGAAGGCTAACATGAAAGAAATAGTACAAACTAAAGAAGTAGGCCAAGGAACTGCTCCTTGAGGAAAAGACTATTCGTAAAGAAGATAATATCCAAAAAGAAGTCCTTTGTAGATAGCGCTGAACGGTTTCCTAAAAATGGTTACATAATTCCCCAAAGAAGAAAATTATTTTTGACTACTTCCTTTACAGACTTATTAACAATGTTTTTTTGTTTTTGTTTTTTTTAATTTTAGCCATTCAGGTGCACTTGCTCAATCTCTGAATTAGCATTCTCCTGATTACTAGTAAAGTTCATCCTTTTTTCAGGTTTATTGACCATTCGGATCTATACTTTTCTTGAAACACAACTGAAGTTTCTAGACTATTTTTCTATTGTGTTATTTAGTGTTTCCTTAATTGATTTCTACTTTGTGGTTACATGTGTAGCAAATGCCTTTTCCCATCCTGTGGCTTGCCTAGTTGTTTGTTTTAAGATTATTTATTTATTTATTTATTAGAGAGAGAGAAAGAGAACACGAGTGCAGAGGAACAGGGAGAAGCAGATCCTGTGCTGAGCAGGGAGCCCAACACTGGACTCAATCCTAAAATCATTACCTGAGCCAAAGGCAAACATTTAACAGACTGAGCCACCCAGGCGCCCCTTGCCCTCCTAGTTCTTTAATGATGCTACATAACTGAATTTAATTAGATTGAATTAATTTTAATGTTGCTCAGGTTATTTCTCTTCATAGTTAGTGAAGTCTTTCCCCATCTCAAGATCATCAGGATGTCTTTCTGTATTAACTTTTAGAAGCTTTAATGTTCTTTCACATTTCTACCCACAGTGTACCAGGAATTAATGTCTGTTATAGTACAGCTTTTTCTCTTTCCCTCACATGGATACCCAATTGTCCTAGCATTATTTTATTAAAAAGAACTATCCTTTCCCAATTTCTGTATGGTGCAATTATTGTCATAAGTAACACCTATATATACTTGGGTCTATTTCAGAGCTATTTTATTACATTCATCTATTTGATTACCCATGCTTTAATGTCACACTGTATCAGTTATGGTAACTTTATAATAAATCTTGATGTGCAGGACAAAGTTATTCCACCTTGCTCTTACTCAAGAGTGTGTGTCTGCCCTTGGTTTCTGTACAGATTTTAAAACCAGTTGGTCAAGTTCCAAAGTAATACTGGTGGTAATTTTAATTGAGATATTACAACAGAGGCTTCAAAACCATGAGCACAGTGTAATTTCTTCATTTGGCCAGGTCTTCTTTAATTTCTATCAAGAATATATAAGGCTTTTTTATTGTGACTTTACTTATTTTTGTTAGACTTATTCCTAGATATTTGGGAGTTCATTTTTGCTATTGTATATATTTTTTATTTCATTTGTTTCTTGTACATGAACACATAACTGATTGCTCTGTATTAAACCTTGTAACCAGCAGCCTGTTTCATTATTCTCATAATTTTTCTGTAAGTATTTCTGGATTACTTACGTAAACAAACCTATCACTCGCAAATAATGACTGTTACATATCCTTTTCCCTTCCCAACCATATGGCACTGGGCAATGCATCTGAAGTTAAAGTCAAAGTCAGCCTATCATCCTTCACTTGTTACAGATTTCAAAAATAAAGTTTTCAACAGTTCACTCTACAGCTCAAAGTAATCTGTACTTTTTGTAGGTATACTTTATGAGATTAAGTACTTCCCTCTATTCCTGAGTTTGCTAAAGGCTTTTATTTAAATGAGTGGATGCTTAAATTTATCACATTTCTTTACCATCTGTTGAGAAAATCATACTATTTTTCTTAATTTTGTTAGTACAGTTGATTATAATCAATTATCAAATGTTAAACAACCTTACATTCCTAAAATAAACTCAAGGTGATCTTGATGCATTACCCTTTTCATAAATTGTTAGGTTCAGTTTGCTAGCACTTTGATGATTTTTTAAAAGATTTATATGCATAAATGGAATTAGCTTGTAATATTCCTTCCTCATTACATGCTTCTTGGGTTTTGGCATCAAGGTTATTCTGACTTCAAGATATGCTGAGATGCATTCTCTCTTTTTCTACTCTCTGGATGGGCTTGTAGAAGACATGTTATTTCTTCCTTAAATTTGAATAGAAGAAATCAGTGGTGAAACAACCTGGGCCTAGAGTTTTTCTCTGTGCAAGGTTTTTAATTATAGATTCAGTTCTTTAACTCAGGTTTTCTCGCCTTTCAAATGTCAATTTTTGGCAACCTGTATTTACCTAGAAATACATTCGTATTGTTTAAATTCTTAAATTTGTTGATGTAAAAGCTTAAGTCTAATTTTCTTCTCAGTATCTACAGAATCTGTAGTGATGTCCCCTCTTTCATTTCTGACTGGTTATCTATGTCTTCCTTGTTCTTTATAAGTCTTCCAGTCTTTTCAAAAAAATTTCCAGTCTTTTCAAAAAATTTACTTTTGCTTTTACTTTTACTGCCTGGGGTAGAAGGACTTACTACCCTTTACCCCCTTAAAGATGCCACTGCATTGTAAACTCGTAGCTCCTCTCAACCCTCAAATCTGGGCTAGCACTGTGACTTGCTTTTCCAATACAAGTAGTGGGAAGAATATTTGTGTTAAAAGCCTAAATTTAAATCTGTCTTATGTGCATTTACTCTGCTAGAGCTCTATTATTCCCATGCAAACAAGCTCAGACTAACCTACTGGAGAATAAAAGACAAGTGATCCAGTCACCATCAATGTCTCAGCAAAGAGCCAGACAAGTCATAAAAGCAGAGGCTCCCTAGACAACCTACAGGTGACTGACTATAGATGCAGACCAGAAGAACTACTTTGCTGAATGCAATCTAAAGG